GAGTATCTTTATGCCACATCTACTCTTAACTCTCGACATTGTGACATATCCATGCCACCTCTATTGCTAGTACTAATGTTAATACTAATACTAATACTAATACTAATACTAATACTAATACTAATACTAATACTAATACTAATACTAATACTAATACAAATCCTAATATACTAATGCTAATGCTAATGCTAATGCTAATGTCAATGCTAATGCTAATGCTAATGCCAATGCTAATATTAAGGCCAATGCCATGCTAATGTTAATGCGAATGTGAATGCTAATACTAATTCGAATGCCAATGGTAAGGTTAATAATAATAATATGCTAATGTTAACCATAATCTACCAATGCTAATGTTAATGTTAATCGTAATATGCTAATAATAATAAGTTGATGCTAATACCAATAGGCTAATACTAAGGCTAATGATACTGATAATCCTAATATTAATCATAATCCTTAGATAAATGCTAATACTAATCATAATTACAATCCAAGTTCTAATCATAACACTATTACTAATACTAATACTCTAATGATAATACAAATGGTAATGTTAATACTAATATGCTAATGATAATTATAATTTCCTAATACTGATATTCCAATGCCTAATGCCAATGACAATTATAATATGCAAATCCTACTATGCTAATATTAATGACAATTATAATATGCTAATACTAATACTAATGTTAATCCTAATCCAAATTCTGACCCTAGTATTAATCATTATCATTAGCCTAATCTTCATACTAATTATAATCATAATCATAATTATAATCCTAGTCCTAACACTATTACTAATAATAACACACTAATGATAATGCTAATGGTAACGTTAATACTAATGTTAATCATAATTCTGATATTACTGCTAATCATAATCTACTAATGCTAATTATAATTGTAATTTACTAATAGTATTATGCTAATGCTAACACTGATATGCTAAGGTTAACAATAATGCTAAAGATAATGTTAATACTAATCCCAATCATAATCCTAATCACGTTTCTAATGTTAAGGATAATGCTAATGCTAATCGTTATCCTAATATATTAATTCTAATGCTCATGGTAATGCTAATGCTAATATTAATCATAATCCTAATATGTTGATGCTAATAATAATTTTAATATTAATTATAATTATAATGCTAATACTAATCGTAATTCTAATTTAATGTTAATGTTAATGTTTATTCTAATCCTAACATGCTAATGTAATGGTAATGTTAATCCTAATCATCAGCTTAAACCTAATACTAATCCTAATGGTAAAATTAATTCTAATTCTAATTCCTATTTCAATCCTAATGCTAATCCTAATTCTAATACTAATGTTAATGTTAATGTTAATGTTAATGCGAATCATAATTATAATACATAATGCTGATGCTCATCATAATTATAATATGCTAATGTTAATGCTAATGCTAATCCAAATCCTATTCATAATATTAATCACATTCTTTAGCCTAATCCTAATACTAATCATACTCCTAATAAGTACACTGTCACTAATATTAATAATAATACGTTAATGATAATGCTAATACTAACACGCTAATGTTAATACTAATATTTTAATGCTAATGCTAATCATATATCTAATGTTAATGTTAATGATGTAGCTAATGCTAATCATAATGCGATAATGCTAATCTTAATCTACTAATTAAAATATGTTAATGTTAATATTAAGGCTAATGTTAAATGCTAATTATATAATCCAAATTCTAATCCTAATAATAACCATAATCTTAGATTAATACTACTACTAATCATACCCATAATCCTAGCTCTAATCCTAATCATAACACTCAAACTAATACTAATACGCTAATAGTAATGTTAATACTAATATGTTAATGTTAATACTAATATGCTAATGTTACTGTGAATCTTAATCCTAATATTAATGCTAATACAAATGTTAATCATAATCTGCTAATGCTAAATTTAATGATAATCCCAACACAATAATACTAAAATGTTAATGCTAATGTTAGGGCTAATGTTAATCATAATCCTAATATTTTAATACTAATGCTTATGGTAATGGAAATGTTAACGTTAATCATAATCCTAATATGTTGATGCCAATTATACTCCTAGTTCTAATCACAATGTTAATACAAATTCTAATCCTAATCATAATCGTAATTCTAATGTTAATGGTAATTTTAATCCTAATATGCTAATGCTAATGCTAATGTTAATGCTAATGCTAATCCTAATCCAGATATGCTAATTGTAATGCTAATGTTTATGTTAATCCAAATCATAA